TGATATAGAGCTAGAACCAGATAAATTTTAATTTATTTTTTTAAGTGAAATGATATTGCTGAGTTGTGGTTTTGGGTTAGTTGAAACTCACCCCTTCTGAAGCAATTTCCTTTGGAAGAAGGACATGAAGTGCCTGGGTAGTGCTTACTTCTATCCCTCCTTGAGGGTGTTCTCTGGTGTGGTGAGAGTGTGTGTTCAGAACAAGGATGAGAAGGGGATTTGCAATGCTTTCCACACCCCTGGAGAGAGTACCCTAAACTTACTTGGCTGTACAGTTTGAGAGAGTGCCATGTCCTTTGGAGTTCACAAAGCCCTCTTGTGAATGTAGCCTTTTCATAGTAGAAGTGGAGGATATTTGTAAAGAAGTGCATGTGGTTAATATGCAGGTGTTTTTAGCTACCTTGGGTGAAGGCATTTGTATGTGTTTTAGCAAAATGAGTATTTTTCAATTAACTAGAAAAAATTGTGAGGGTAGTGTTTTAAACCTCAGACGTGGTTCATGTCTCTGTATCTGTTGGTATTACTATGTATTTACTTATGTCTAATAAATACCATTGTTTCTTAGTTGTGTGGGTTTTTTTAATTCTCATATTCTGAAATTGCTCCTTTGAACAGAGGCTTGAAAGCTGTATACAGGCTTTTTCTTAAATGAAAAAATAAAATAGGGCTTATAGAAGAGGGAGATGGAACAGGAAAGAGCAGGCAACCAAACCCATGCCTCAGGATACCACCCCTAAGGTGTGGTGATGTCTGTCCTGGCCTGCTCGCTTATGTAGGAGATAGTAAGGTCTGAGGTCTGTCAGTACTTCCATACAGCACTGAAATGCAGCAAGAGCTGGCATAGTGTTATAAATACCAGATTCTGCCTTGCGTTACTGCTCAAAATTCTCCTACAGATGTACAATGTGTAGTTCTTCCTTCTGTTCTAGAGAAGGTGGGGAAAAGCAGAGGCAGTAAAGCCGGTAGGATAAGAGATTTCTATTAATCTGGTTTTCTGGCAGAGGCAGTTCTCAGACGTGCCTTGGCAGTGCCTGTATTTAGTAGCTGTGTTCCTGGATGCTGGCCCAGTCACATGGCGCTGCTGGAACAAGTGACACGGGGCTGATGCGTTCGCAGAGCCGTGGCTCTGCATGCCGGAGGAGCTGGGCTGGCCTGGCCGGGCGCCGTGCTGCTCGCTCCTGCACGGCGCCTGCCGTTTGGATCTACCTGCTTGGCTCCAGTGAAGGCTGCACGTTAGTTACTGCAGGTGCCTTAAAAAAATAAACAGTGAAAGAAACGAACTCAAATCCTATGGTGTATTAAATTACACGTGATGCTTCAGTTCTTTGAAATGATAAATATTAGCACTACAGAACAAAATCTTCGATTTACTTTTTATCAGCTGGCTGTTGGAAACTATGGGGGTGAAGGGAGGAAGCAAGATGGAAAAGGGGAAAGTTAATTTAGACTAAACACAGCTTTTCTGTACTGAGGAAAGGACTAGGTAGTGGATCTAGGGTGCTAACTTTACTGTGTACTTTACCTTTCTTTGTTTAAAGTCCTAGTTTAACAAACCTATGCTTTTCTTACTGGCAAAATACAATTAAATACACACACGTTTTTGTGCAATTTCAGGTCTTTAGCCCTTCTCTTTCCTAATGAGGAATTCCACTTCTGGGGCTAGTAACTGATAGCATAGTCTGTGTTATTTATGGTCCTACTTCAAACACATTATGCTTGTTGGGGGTTTTGGTTGGGATTTTGCTTGGTTGTGGGTTTCATTTGTTTTATTTTTACATTATCACTGAGACACTGTATGAAACTTAACTCCCAAGCTTCAGACTTGTAGATAGCCAATGAACAGTGAATCCAAACTTATGGAAGTTGTCTGAGTTGTGAAACACTGGTTTAATGGGCTGTTCTTCATGCTTGTGGAAGGTTGATGGTGCAATTTATGTAGATCTGTATGTTAACCTTTATCAGCTGTGTGCGTGTTTTATGGTCGTTTTCTGTGCATGATGATGAAAATGCTTCCAACATTACAAAAATCCAGTATATTCTCCTTTCCTAAGTAGGCAGTCTGTGGAATTCTAACTTTGCAGTGAGCAAATATGTCCAACATTGTTTTGCTTTTCATACAGTAACGTGTAGAAAGTAACCTTTCTGTACAGTAATCTGATATCAAGAACTTTGTTTTCCACCTGAGCTTTTTCTACAGGAAAATCTAACCTGGGAGAGAGCAGTGCTGCAAATAATATGTTCCCTCACTTGCTGCATGACTAAGCTGCAATGTATCCCGCCAAACTTGTGTGGAACTAGTAACTATGTATCATGCGTGAACAAGGTAGTTCGTCTGAGGTTAATAGTGCTTTACCATATTAGGACTACTTTAAAGCATTGTGGAAAAAGAATGTGGTGTGGCATCAGCACAACTCTTCCATATCCAAGGTTTTAAAAAGATGAGGAACAATTCACGGTAAATGATTCAAATTAGGAGGGAGGAAGGGAACCTACATCTTCCACCTAAGCTATTCAATGGACTAAAGAAGGGAAAATCATCATTAAGCAACCCAAAATAGATTGAACTTTGTCTTTAAACATGTGTTTTGGCACTCATCCTGAATGTCTGGGTCTAGGCATTTTTTTTGTATGTATCAGTTTTGCTAAGTGTATGTTTTACAAAAACAAATGCTCACCAAACAGCAGGTATGATTCAAACTTTGTTTTCCTATGCTACTCCAGCTGGCTTCTGGAAGCTGTTTGGAAAATAAAACCTTATAGGAGGCTCTGCAAATATTTGGTTAGATTTGAAAACAGTGCCTGAGTTTTAGTGGACAGCTGTAACTTATACAGAAAATTATTCTTAATTAGATAAGTACATGACATACATTTCCTCTTTCCCCCACCCCAAATTTTCTTGCTAAAGTGTTACCTTGAGTTGAAATCAATTTAGACAATTGTGTCGCAGTAGAGATGAAGGACAGGAAATGACCTACAAACGGAGCAGGTGACAGGCTGTCACATAGCCTAGAAAAAGAGTGATTCAATTCTGCTTCCCAGAGGATTGTATCTGGAGAGCAGGACACTTTCTTCCCTTTTCTGTATTATCAACTTCATCGTCTCTGGGTGTTCTCCATGTGTGAATTTGCATATTATTTTGTTGTTGTTCAGAAACTGTTCTGTGGATTTTCAGTGTTAATTTCCCAGGCATTTTGGGATTTATAGTATTCTACAGATGACTTCATCTACAGATGAGTTAATGTTGTGAAGCACTTCTGTTTAGTGACTTTACAGGACTTTCTAGTTCTAATGCCTGACGTGAATTTGATATTGTGGTGAATGTTCCAGAATTTTGGGTTGTTAGGGGAAAAGATAGGGCAGAAGTAAAGGCTGTCAATTGCTGATTTTAGTCGAAGAATAAGTACTTGTCCATGAGTTGCTTGTTTCATTCACACTTAAGATGACTAGGAGCACTGATGTTTAAAGTAGTCCTCAACGAGGTGAGAGCTAGGAGTTGTCCTCTCCTAGATTATTCCTGTCACTTGAGAACAGACCGAAGCTTTTCACTGGTTTCTCTCTCTCAGGAGGAGGAGCGATTGTGATCTAGTACTTGTTACCACTCTGGGAATTGAAACAGCGTTTTTTTAATTTTTATTGCTATAGGCTTCCCTCAGCAACAGAGCAAGTTGTTCAGCCTAACCTTGCCCTAGTTTTCTGCTTGACTTCTGTCCAGTGCTTAGAGGTTGGAGTTAACTGAGATTACAAAATCGTTTTAAGAAGAGTGCTGTGCTATTTAGCAGGTAGCACGTAGGTTTTGAAATCTGACTCTGTTTTCTGACTCTATTGCTGCATTTCTGGGTGACCATTAGCAAAGTTATTTTCCCTTTTTAGTCTGGAAGGGAAATTGCACTATGGCTGTCATCTTCTAAAATGTCTGAAATTTTACTGATGGGGGAAAGCTATGTAAGACATGAATTATGAGCCAGGTATGTATGGATAACTCTTTAAAGCAGGGATGAAGAATAGGACTTTGTTCTGCAATAGAATTACCTGAGCTTGACAGAACATACTTTTTTTCTATTCAAAAACTTGAATTTCCTTGGTCAGAAGTATCTTATTAGATATTTCTCGTCACCAATATTGCCATTAATTTATTTTAACAGGCACATGACTATAAATTCTCATCAACCAACTTAATGTCTGTGCAGCAAAACTTTTCTCACTGTTTTCCTTTCTACCTTTTTTAAAAAGCTTTTCAACATAGTAGTTTCAGGTTCTTGGCCAAGTGTAAATACTATTTGTCCTTAAAAGTAAAAGCATTACGGTGCAGAATATCTAGTGTGTTTTTTTGTGTTGGTAACTTTTTTAAAACTGATAACCATATGGCAATGATGACAGATTCTTACTTGCTCCTAAGCTATATGAGGTTGCTAGGGGTTGTCAGATGACACTTGCTCACATGAGAGCCATTAACAGGGTGTTGTAGCCAGTGTTAGAACAACCTTGCAACTAAGGGCGAGTCACTGCAAAAGCAACTATGCTTTTTTTTTTTTTTTTTTCAAAGAGGCCATATGGTTGGGTCTTGTGACTACATAATTGCCAGCTACCTAAATCACATACCAGGAAACAAACATCGCTAAAGTCAATATTAGCTGTTGTATCTGCTACAGTTTTGTGCCAGGCTTGGTAGGAGTAACTCTGACAGCAGCAGGGAACAAGTCTGCGATGGCTTCTGGAACCTGAAAGTCATGTCTCCTCTGCTTGGAATAATTGCAGGAGTACTTTAGTTACAGCTGTCTTTCTGCATTAATGGCTTATAGAATATATGAAGATCACTTTGCTGATTTTCCTATTAGGGGAAAAAAAGGCAGACTCTGTTCCTGTGTAGGAAAGAAAGCTGATGATAAATTACCATTGTTAATGGTTGACCGATAGTAATGAAATCTGCTTGAGGCTGTATCTCTTCAGCAGGTATTTAGTTTCTTTGAGGGAGCTTTACAAGAGGATTTGTAGCCAAGAAAATGTGTGGGGGAACACCAAAAGCTACAAATGGCACTGGGGGACAAATAGAAAGAGCAAGAAACAACAATGATATACCACGTGGAAATAATCTCTCTTGTACTAAATTGGATGAAAGAATTAGAAAGTCTTTGAGAGACCAAAGTGTCAGCTGTGCAAGCAAAGTGACTAGACTGCTGCAAAACAGGTATGCATGTAACTTTTCTTATATATTGATTTTTGACAGAGAATAGACATTTTCAGTAAGTACTAGATTTATGATCATGTGCCTGAAAGGCTATTTTGTAAATAATTAGGAAAGTTCTATTAGAAGCTTATTCTTGATGATGATAGTGTCTGAAACGTCAGAAAGTCTTTCCTGCTTGAAACTGAATCTATGTTCTTGACTCTGAGGTGCAAGATTTATGTATATGCAAACTGAGGCATGAAGGATAATTGCCTTTCTTTTCAATTAAGGTTAAATAATCTTACCCTCTCTTTCTAGTTTTCTAATTAGTTTCCCCTCTTTTACCTTTTTATTTTGCCAACTCCTGTGTTAGTGGGGCAAGACAGGAGAGAATGCTGAGAAGTGGGGAAAGAATGGAGAAGGGAAACCTCTGCTTTACTTGTAAATTACCTCTAGATCAAGCATTACATGAAAGTAATCTGAAGTATGAATAGTGTTTCTTTGACATTTGTGATGTCTTTTCTGATGTGTGCTGGCATGTCTCTAATGTCTGAGTCTTTTCAGCTATGTAACTGTTGAAAATATGGTTCAGGGTAACGTTTTCCAAATTCAAGCACCCAAGGGTGTTAGAATTAGTATACTACATTCAGGAATACTGGTCTAAGAAATAAAAGAATATATAGGAAGAGCTATACAGAGATATTTCAGCCTGATGGTTTCTCTAGCCTATGAATGTTGCACTGAAGTAGTGAGTGGTTAGTCACTTTCAAAAAGAGCTTAAGGTCAGCTGAAGTAGTTTCTGACTGCAAATGAATTGGTCACGCTTCAGTTATTGAATGCATGCTGATTATTATAAAGGTGAAGCAAAAGATTTCTTTGTAAAGATCAGGGTTTGGTGATCTATATTGGCTGAAAGTACTGATTCATGGCAGAATGAGGCAAAATTTTTGTGACTTTTTTCCAGAAACAAACAAGTCTGCTTTCCCCTAAGTAAGAGAGATCTTCTTGCCTCCATGTCTCATATCTGTAATGGAAGAAATGTTGAACAAGTCAAAGAAAAGTAGCTAATATGCCAGTTTAAGAGAAAATAAAGCAAGCTTAAGTTTAGTATGGAATCTGGAGAGAAAACTTTCCAGAGTATCTGTAAGCTGTTCCAAACTTGTGGCTTTCTTAAAAAAAAAAAAAATCCATAGCATTTTAGTATCTTTAGTAGACTTGGCTCTCCTGTTGTATGAACATCGACAGCTTGATTTTATTTATTTATTTTGACTTGAAGATGATGTTTATTGTTTCTAGCATCTTCCACATGCAGGAACGATATGGTCTGAAGGTGAGGCTAGATAAGCTGAGTTGTTCAAACAGACTGCTGATGTTGAAGGAGGCAATCACATTGCCACTTCTTCCTTTGCTTTCTGGCATTGTGCTTTTATCCTTTTTCCTCTTGTTCTGGCCTTGGCCTTTCCAGTCCTTTTGGAGCTGGCTCTCCGTAGGGAGTCTGTTAACTGCCTAAGCAGGCAGAGAACTGGCTTGGGAACAAGAAAAGTCAATTAACATTTTAACTAGCCTCAGTACTTATTGGGAATGTATAGGGAACGTTTTCTTTGTGCTCTTTCTTAAAGGTATATAGCTCCATGGACAAAGTGACTAGGTATAACTCATGCTGCCACCAGGAGGTGAAGGTTCCATTGCCATCTACTTCCTCTTTTCTTTCTCCCCACTATATTTCTGGTCCACTTTCATGTGCTTGGACAGACTTCTGTTGCTGCAGAGAATTCACTTTACGGAAGGGTCGACAGTTGACAAAAGGAAGGTCCTGCTTCAGCAACCTGATCTCCTTCTATGACAAAGTGACCTGCTTAGTAGATGAGTTAAAGGCTATTGATGTAGTCTGCCTTGGGCATCAGTAAAGTGTTTGACACTGTCTTCCACAGCATCCTCCTAAAAACACTGGCTGCTTGTGGCTTGGATGGGTAGCGTCTTCAATGGGTGAAAAATTGGCTGGATGGCCAGGCCCAGAGGTTGTGGTGAATGGAACTAAATCCAACTGGCAGATGGTCACTAGTGGTGTTCCCCAGAACTGAATATTGGGGTCAGTGCTATTTAATATCTTTATTGATGATCTGGATGTGGGGATTGAGTGCATCGTCAGTAAATGTGCAGACAGCAGTAAATTGGGTGGAAGTGCCCATCTGCATGAGGGTAGGAAAGCTCTACAGAGAGACCTGGACCAACTTGATCCGTGGGCTGAGGACAACTGCATGAGGTTCAATAAGGCAAAGTGATGGGTCCTGCACTTGGGACACAGCAACCCCATGCAGTGCTGCAGGCTGGGGGAGGAGTGGCCTGAGAACTGTTCAACAGAAGGAGACTTGGGGGTGCTGGTTGACAACTGGCTTAATATGAGCCAACAGTGTGCCCAGGTGGCCAAGAAGGCCAGTGCCATCTTTGCCTATATCAAGACCAGCATGGCCAGCAGGACTAGGGAAGTGATCAATCCCCTGTACTCAGCATTGGTCAGGTCACACCTCGACTACTATGTTCCGTTTTGGGCTCCTCACTTTAAAAAGGATACTGAGGTGTTGGAGTGAGTCCAGTGAAGGGCAACAAGGCTCATAAAAGGTCTGGAACACATGTTGTATGAGGAACAGCTGAGGGAGTTGGGTTTGTCAGTCTTGAGGGTGGCTCAAGGGCACAATCATTGCTCTCTACAACTACCTGACAGGAGGCTGTAATGAGATGGGAGATGGTCTCTTCTGCCATGCCTTCAGTTGAGAGGACTAGAGGAAATGGCTTAAAGTTGAGATGGAAGATTCAGTTAGGTATTAGAAAAAAAGTATTTTCACTGTAAGTGTAATCAGGCATTGGAATAGGTTCCTGAGGGAGGTGGTAGAATCACCATCTCTGGAGATGTTTAAGCAGCACCTGTATCTGGTGCTGGGTGATGTCATTTAGTGCTGTAGGACTTAGTGCTAGTGTTAGGTGGACAATTGGATTGATGATCTTAAAGATCTCTTCCAACCTTGATGATTCTGTAAGTCTAATTACCAGACCAGACACAAGTAACAGGAAGGCTCATGTAGTTACAATGTAACTACATTGTGAGGTTTTTAATTTTGTGTACAAGTAAAAACACCTTCTATCAGAATAGCCACATTTAACCTTAAATGCAAACATTTGCACAAACTCATAATTAATAAATTCAGCTAATTTTTGAGAATATGGAGGACCTGGCATTGCCAAATAAGCAAGAAACTCATACAGCGGTGAAGGAGTAATAGTTTGGGGATTTGGTTTTTATGCATGTGAAAATGGAGTTGGCCAGTGAGTCTGTGTGTTGTCTGTGTTCTCCAACACCCTGCTTTTAGGAGATGATTGAATACTCCCACTATTCCTGTTTTGGGGATCTATGTTATATAAGCTGGTTTAGACAATAAAGGGTGGAAGTACTGTAAGCAGTCTGCTCATCAGCTCTTTGTGACAGGGATAAACATCCCAGTCATCTGACTAGTCTTGGGCCTGGTGCTAGATTTCACGTGGAAGTAATGAGACTACATGGGCTTATATGCCTGTACAAATTTCCTATCGATATGTTTGATCTTATCAAATGAGGTTTTAGTAAGATGGATCTGTTCTGTAATGTGTTGGACTGCTGCAGGAACTGCGTCTCTCTTCTGGGTAATTCAAAGCCTGAAAGCACAGACTTCATTAAAACATAAGTTTGATGTTTGGTAATACTGTTGGAAGCATTATCTGAATTTACTTCCCTAGGTTTGATCTATTAGTCACACAAAGCTCTGCATGATTTATGTAACTTCTTAGCTGCTTGCTGTCTGGTACTAGAGAATCTGTTTGTGGTTCTGAAAGATCGCTGCAGTTTTTAATTCGAGCATGCTGTATGGAAAAGACACCTCAGCAGACTGTTAAATTGTCTTCTACTTCAGCATAAAATCCTGCTCACATCTTAGCAGAGGTTGGCACTGTACAAACAACATGAAGTTTGCTTTAGTGCATTTTGAGGGAGGTCACCTGTTCATAAGGAAGCCTAAATTAATGCAACCCAACCTGCATGCAAACCTGCATTGGTGGGCAAATGCAGGGCTGGATTGGCTCAATCTGTGTCTGAAAATGAATCTTTCTCAGTTTACACTTGCAGTCCCGTGGTCTCAACTACAGATGTTGCTGTGCCAGTCCTGGAAATGAGTAAGGCTTTGCTCTTGTATAGAATTTATACTAAGGCCATGAAGTTGTACCTTTTCTTTGTTGTTAAAAGAAGGGAAGACCTACAGCCTTTTTAAGAAAGCAGCATAGTTACTTGGGGTTGTCTATTGCAGGAAGTGTGTTGGTAAATAGCTGTGCAACTGAAAAGATATTGAAGCATCTGATACTGAAGAGCATCAGATTCATGTGGCAGACTATGACAAAGTCTATTGGTGGCTCTGACTTTTCTTGCATTCTTTATAACTGGATTTTGTAATAGCATTGCACAGGCAGGGGTCTGAGAAGCTAGAACAGACTTCTAAAACAGATGGTATAGTTGCAGCTCTCAGTATATGTCAGCTGTGTAGGATCTTTGTTGGGCAGCTATCAACAGTGGTATCAGGTCTGGTCCCATGCAGGTTAACTTAATGCTGTGACTCCCTTTGAAAGGAATGAGTTGAAAAGGAATCTGCTTCTGCACTCCTAGCAGTTTTGGAGGCAACATATTACAAACACATCAACAAGTTTCTTCACTGTGGATGGCAAAACAGCTGTTAGCATCACTCTGTGATCTGGCTTTGGTGTGTACTGGAACCTTGCTATTATGTACATACAGCAAACTTGTACCAGAATACCTTACAGTATAGATGAGTATCTGGCTTATTCTGTCCCAAGATATTTAAAAATAGAATAAAGCGTCCCAGATTGAGGTCCTTTCAGGTTTGAAAAAGATGGCCATTTAAGCTTATTTTTCTGTTTAGCTACATAGAAGAGCACAAAGAAGAAATTAAGCTGGCTTTACTTAAAATGATTTTAAATTTATAAGTCTCTGAATGTGCTCCTGAAGCAGTCATCCATGGCTACCTTATTGACTCTAGCAGGAGCTGATAGTGTTTACTTTGCTGTTGATTTATGACTGTTAACAGAGCATGGAATAAAAGAAATATCTTCAGAAATTCTAGTATTTCAGCTGTAGCAGGGTTTTATGCTCTTCTGTCAATTCTCTGCCTTCCTTTTCTGTAGGGTATAGTTTGAGAAAATTCCTAAATGAAACCTTCTTTTGGGTGGAAGATCAGTGTGGCCTTGACTGAAGTCTGTTATGTGGTTTGTTAAACCAACAACTGTTAACGGTTGTACTCTTACCCCCTCGAAGAGGTCCATCCAGGTCAGGGTTGAGGTAATATGACTGAGCATCAGTGCTGTGTGGCACTGCCTTATGCAGTAGTAGGTTTTTTCCATTAATTTCAGCTTATCAGGTACATAACATGAAAAGCATTTTTTATAGCTGAAACTGAGTCCAAGGAAACTCCTGTGCTCCGATGTGCAGACTGACTGCTTTTGGAATTAGGAAGTAGAGTTGCTTGTCATTGCAGCCATGATCAGTTGTGCTCCTCAGCTTCCCATCATAGTGCATGGATGCAAGTCACATCCATGTTGTATCTCTGAGGAATGGGCAAATTCTGCGTTGAGAGAGTTGTTTGGTTTTAGGTTGAATCTCGGTGGTATCTTGGCTTCATCTACTAAATGAGTGTTATTGTAGCTAGACATCAAGTCTCACTAATCTATGGCTGCTCTGTAAACCCTGAAATGTCTCAGAAAAAGGGGAAAAATAATGGAACAACATAAACCATGTCTTTCAGTAACTTAAACTTTGGGAAGATCTTCACTTCTATTGCAAGGAATAGATCCAAAGAAATTGGGTTTCTGTTGTTTAGAGAAAGACATGGTAAGGTGTAAGCCTTGTGCTTTTGAAATGCTGTAGTAGAGAGGATGGTAATCCATTGGATTTTATTGCCTCTGAGAGTATTGCACAAAACAGTACACCTGCCTTACAATAAGGATCATCTGAGCTGTGTACAGAGAAGAGAATAAATTTAAGAGTGGTTAAGCCCTGGAGCAGATTGCTGAGACAAGGTTTTGTGTTCACTTTCTGGAAAATTCTGATAAAAGCTTCGATGAAAATTGGTCTGACTGTGCCTGCCCTTGTATCAGTGGCACTGGGCTTAGGTGCTCCTTTGAGTTTCTTTTTTGCTTGGAGATATATGATTACACCCTGGATTCTGTAAATGCTGGGTAAAAGATGTATTTGCCCAATAACTGTTTCTTCACTTAAGTAAACCTGCAAAGCAAGCACACTATTTTAACATCTTGTGTTTATAATCCATAGCTGGTCCTCTTCGGAGTTTGACTTGAATGAAATCCGCCTGATAGTTTACCAAGACTGTGAGAGGAGAGGCAGGCAGGTCCTATTTGATTCCAAAGCAGTCCGCAAAGTTGACGAAGCTGTGGTTCAGGTATGAAATATTGACTTTGCTGCTGTCCTACTGCTCTTTTGTTTTCCTTTCTGAAAGTAGCAATTTTAATAGGACAGTGTCAACTGCTTAATCTTGTGATCTTTCACTTGATTGCGATTCTGATAGCTGCAATAAGTGTGTTAGATTCCAGAAAGCCTATGAACACATGGCATTTGGTATTTATAATGTAAATATGGTATTTACACTTAACTTAGACCTGATTTATTTTCAGGCAAAGAAATCTATGCCCCTTTAAACCAAGTATTTATTTTAGTCTTTTTACTGTTTTGCTTGGGTTTGCTTTTTGTTGTTAGCCCTGGCTGTGCAGTCCCCTTATTCCAGTGATGCCTAGCATGTCTCTAAAGGTGCTTGTCTTCCTTTCGTGTTTGGATTAGTAAAGTTGTTGTCTTTATGTGAATTGAAGTGACTCCACTGCCTAACCGTGCTGTAATCTGTAAGAATGACACATGGCAATATATAGCCATGTAAGTTTTGGTGACACACATAAGAACCAAGAGCAGATGGTATCAAGATGCAAGTTCTATTTGTGCTCTCCAGGCACACAAATTGTGGAGTAACGCTTTCAGCAAACTTAGGTGATTTTAAGATAAGTAAACCAATAGTGTTTTCTGGTCTATGGTCATTTTTGTTTGGTTTTTTCCCTACCACTTCTGTGTTTCTCTTCTACATTGAATTATTTCAGATTTGTTTGTTTTGAAGCTTTTGTTAGCGCCAACAGCTTCAGCTTATATTAGACTAGCATGTTTTATTGTAGAACTATATATATAGCTATGTAAGAATAGCTGTGACTTGTAGAAATTACTTATGAAGATGCTTAAACAGAAGCAATCTCTATTTCAGTCACACTGTAAATATGTCATTGTGCTGAATCAGTAAGCCTGATGAGCATCATCAGCTGATGTCTGATCATCTACTTAAGAGGGTAAATGGGTCAGATGGGTCTGCTAATCTTGCTTCCCCTCTCTCTGCACACCCCTCTTCCCAAATCAAGATCATTACTTTGTGTCTTAAAGTTGGTTTGAAGCACACAGCATGTGAGGAAGAAATATATATCTGGTTTAATTTAAATGCTCAAATTATTTCACGCACTTGAATATTTTGTGATAAAAGTTAACTACAAAATGTCCTATCAGAAACTCTCTATGCAACACTGACATAAACCAGATTATAACCTTCCTCATAACACATGATTCAGGCTATAATCTGTTTTCTAGCCAGACACTAATCTAGGTGCCCTTTCAAAACAGCCAAAGCACTCTGAATGCCATGCAAACACATAGATGTTAAAAGTGATCTTGAGTGTTTGGTTGGTTGTTTGGTGTATTATCAAACAGCAAGTCTAAAACTTTATTCATTTAAAATTAACACAAAATCACTCTCAAGCTCAGTCCTGTTTAAACTAAAGTCAGGAAAGTGTGTGTGTATACAATCAGTCCTGTTTAAAGTCAGGAAAGTGTGTGTGTATACACTGTGCATTTATGCATTATACTTTGTCTTTAACCTGGTAATTCTACCAAATGATTCACCCCTTGTTTTTGCTGGCTGTTCTTCTTTTTAAGAAATCTGTTAATCACTCGGGGAGCAAAAGTTATATGCAATTTGAGTGATTAATTATGCAAATGGTTACAGAAATTGGTTTGTAAGCAACCCGTAAGCTGAGATTTTGTTTACATAAACTTTGGCAAATGTTACAAAGAGTAATTCAAACAATTGGGAGTGATCTTCCAGTGAAACCGACTAATTACTCTGCCTAGGTCTGATATTATGAAAACCCATCTGACAGTGTAAATGTGAGAGTAGTTCTGCACTTGCTCTGCTGGCATTTAAAAATTATTTTAAAACAGATAGATACATGTTTTTTTGAACCAAGTAAGAGTAACTTTTATTTCTGTTGCTTACCTGTAGTTTCAAGAAAATCCTTGCCATGATATGTCTAGAGATGGGAGTTCTCATATTTACTGTAACAGGTTTTATCATATTGCTCTGTTTTGACACAGAAAATGGCAGATGAGGCTTCTGTCAAGACTTCTGTCAAGAACTGCCAAGCAAGCAATGGGAATAACAATATTTCTTCCCATAGTCCCCCAATAAGCTGTATGCAAAATATCAAAGAACAGATACCGAAATATCAGGTAATAGTCATTACTTTTATTTATCCATCTTACTGGAGAAGTTAGCTTATAAAAGCCTTTACATAAATGCATTGAATGACTAGTTATACTTCTAGTATATTACAAGTATTCTGAACCTTGAAATATCTACCCTGTCCTTAAAGTTGCAGAGTAAGAATATGTGGGTACATTTTAATTTGTTGGTCTATCTTGGTCTTAGCTTTGAAGGAGTTGTGAAATATATCCAATAGCATTATTATTTTGTGAAGGTCATGAAAAGCACTATACTGTTCTTTGTTATTGTCTACTTATACTTCAAGGCAGTTCTGAAGAAGCTGTTGAACATAGTATATTAAGTGAACTATTTTTTAGGTACTCCGGCTGTTTCTCAGTAAAACCATTAGAATTCCAACTAGAAAAATATAATTAGAAGCATGTTTAGATTAAGGTGGGAAAAATTATATTTAACTGGAAGGTAAGTGACCTTCCTCAGAATTAACACACCTTTTTGTATTTGCTGTTCATGATCAGTCTTCGATAGAAAATAAGCAATTGGTCTGAAGACTGCATTTTTTACTATAATCATAAATTATTTTCCAATCAAAAATGTTTCCAAGGTGCTTTCTATAAGGGCAGGGATGAAGAGTTTGCTCTTTGTCATAAATGAGACAATTTATTGTTTGGGAATCCAGACCACAGCACTTAAATTGTATGAATGCCTATGGCTTTCATCAAACACTCTGTTACATGGGAATGTTGCTGGACATAGCTATTTCTTTGGCAATGCAGTAGATTATTTTCTTCTTTCTTACCTTAGGAGATTCCCCTGGAATAAGTGTAACAGTGTCCATTTAATGAGTAAAACAGAGTATGTCTTCATGCTGTACTTGTTTGTGCTTGCACTTACTGTGTTAGAACCACACTAAGTGCACATCGATCTTACTTTACATGGAAAAGATGAACTTACTTGTATTCTCCATTCAAAATGTAGCACTATGGCACTCTATTAAATTGAGATAATATGCCAAGTTACTGACTTTGCTCCTCCCATCTTCTTGTCTGTGTAGTACACCAGGCCAGCCTCTGATGTCAACATGCTGGGAGAAATGATGTTTGGCTCAGTGGCAATGAGTTACAAAGGCTCCACCTTGAAAATTCACTACATACGGTGAGTGGCCTTTTCTGTGATGCTCTGTCTTTGTCAGGCACTTGGAACTGATGACTCACTCAAATGACTGTTTATCCTTTCAGCTCTCCCCCACAGCTGATGATAAGTAAAGTCTTCTCAGCCAGGGTAGGAAGCTTCAGTGGAAGCAACAATAAGTAAGAACATCTTTAAATTTTTTTTTCCCCTTTCCCATCCAATGCAGTTGTCTGTCTTCTTTTGTAGTCCCAGTAGAAAATCAGGAATGGCAGCTGTGGAGAAGAGTGCTCTTGAGATTCTAGCCAGGCCACTGAAATTTTTAAAAAATAAAAAAATAAAATCTCCAAGTTTCTGCTTCTTAATTTGTCCAGGGCATGCAATCAAGTTCAGAGATTAGGTGCTTTGGACAAGCAAAGCCTCTATCTCCTCCTCCTGCCAGAAGGGTGAGAACAGGTATATATTGAGAAAGCTGTCTCTCTCTACCCCACTTCTGTTTCCTTCAACAATGAAATTATTTCCTTCAACAAACACACTGTTGCTCATCTGTTCTGTTTTTCCTTGTCCCCAAAGTTGGCAAATGTGAGTAATTTGAATCCCAACTGTGGCACACAGAAACTTAACAATAATGCAAACAGGGAGCTTATATAAAAAATAAATGCCTATTTCCTTCCAGTTTCAGAAAACCTACTTGTCCTTGAATTTGATTGTAAAGTTAATGTTGAGCTTTCTTTTTCTTAGAAAATGAACCTAGTTCAGAGTATTACTGCCTGTTGATCACATTCTTAAGGAACACTGACTTTTCCCCCTACTTTAGCTTACAAGATAGCTTTGAATACATCAACCAAGATCCCAGCCTGGGAAAGCTGAGCTCGAATCAGAATGGTCTGGGAACTTGTCGCAGTGGAAGTAATTTAGGTAAATATTTCCAGGTTCTATGTCTTTCTGACAACATGAGGCCATCTGTTCATTAAGTTGTGTTCAGTATTTTTTCCCCAGTACATCACCTCCTTATTTTTTTTACTTTTTTTTGCATTTTTTTTTTTGCATTTTCTCTACATTGCTTTTGTTTCCTAGGTGTGTTACAGCTGTGTAGCAGCAAGCTGCTGCAGGGTGTGTCTGAAGGAGGTCCCCTCCGGCTCATCCGCAGTGCTTCTTTCTTTGCAGGTTTGTGTGGAATGCCAGCCCACAGTGTGACCCATCCATGTGCACACACAAATCCAGCTCCTTCTGAATCCTTGCGGGCTATACATAATTACTCTCTAGAAACAGAAAGGGCTAAAATAGTGACAAGTGTATCTGGCGTATACTTTAAAATCTTTCTCCCCCCAAAATGCCGAAATGGATTGCTTTTTGTTCATATTTATTTTCTAATTACTGTGTTAAAGATATTTAAAGATATTTTTATGCAGTGTTTTTAATATTAAATTAGTCCTTATGTTTCTTAGAGAACTTATGTTTCCTGGCTTATTGCTGGTTTCTTGCTAGTGTGCAGGTGTCTTGCTGGTGTACAGCTTTTTCTTCTCTTACCTCTTGCTCCCTTTTTTTAAAATTTGATGGCAGACATTCAGAATTAATTCTTGAACTAAGTCTGGGAGGCTTTAAGGTTTTTCTCTTTAACAATATCTATTGCTTTAATTCTCACAACTTTAAGCTTCATAAATTTTCATTTTACAGGCATAATGGTGACCCATGCAGGTGGGTAGGTCTTAGGCCTAATTATTTCTATTAATTGCAAAAATGTGGACTGGAATACCAATGCGGTTTCTTCACAGCCTTTGCAAATCTTGCATGCTCTACAATTTGAGTGACTCTGCACTACTAACACTTCACTATAATACAACATAGGGTGAATGTTTCTTACTGTGAGGCTTTGTGGATGGTAAATCTCTGGTAGGGGAGTGAAAGAGAAGCCTTTAGTGGACTTTGTATTTGAATATTTCATTATGAATTTAACCTGGGCAGTATTGCACACTCAAAAAAAATTGTCAGGAGTGACAGATAAGGGTACTACCAGCCCTTACTTTCAAAGCATATCTGATTTCTGATAATGCTGTATTCATATTCTTAAGCTTTTCAGATGTTTATACATTGGGGCAAATAACTTCCCTCTTGTAACGTGATACTCAGTATGGGCATACTGCTTGCTGCCACCTCTGTTCACACCATACTGGTGATTTGGAGTAACAGTACGGGGTGGAATTTTGCTGATGTATGACCTTTAAACTTAAGCATTTTGTTAAATGCTGACAAATAGTATGACAAGTTATGTAATATTTTCTATTGATCTGTTCTGTTTGTTTTAGCACACAGCACACCTGTTGATATGCCTAGCAGAGGACAAAATGAGGACAGAGACAGTGGCATTGCTCGGTCAGGTATCTGCTGTCTGTCTTGTTTGCCTGCTTTTGTAATTGTTACAATTCTTGGGTGCAGTGATTCACCTGAAATACAGGCACCTTATGACCTGTAAATCCAAAATTGTTTTGATCTGCTAGGTGGTTTTCCTTCTGCGTTTGCCCCAAGCCTTAATGCAAGAGCATTTGTAATTATATTCTTTGTTTATAGCCACCATGTTCTGGGTTCTTAACCAATTTATAATTTGGAGAAGGAACTGGTTGGAGCCTTTTTAGAGCAAATGAAGAGAAATCCTTTTGCACTGAACAGGGAAAGGATGCTAGAAGACCAGAAGTCCTGTCTCTTGTAATGGAAGCGCAACACCTCTTAAGACAGAAAGTTTTTAATAAGATAAATTTTATCATGTTCTAATAGGGAAGATCTCTGTAACAATGGAGATGTCTTCAGGCAGCAAGATTTATTTAAAATAAGTGTCTCTCCTGCTGCAAGTGAGTTATGTGAAAAAGATCAGCAAGCAAGAGCAATATTTGCTCCCAGTTAGAGCATGAAGAAAAATATGTATCCAGCATTCTTTGTAATTCAGTATATGTGGGGTTTCTTGCTTTTTTCATAGCATCTCTGAGTAGTCTTCTGGTTACTCCTTTTCCATCTCCAAGCTCTTCATCATCATCTTCTAGCAGCTACCAACGTCGCTGGCTCCGAAGTCAGACAACCAGCTTAGAGAATGGAATTATTCCAAGGTGGTGAGTGCAACACCTTTCTTCTTACAACAGCTGTTTGGCAGTAATTTAAACTAAATAGAGCTTAAGCCTCTTTTCTTTAAAAAGACAAATCCTGTTATTAAATGCTCTCACTTAGTCTAGCTTCTGTGCATGTTATGTAAGACTGCAAAGATAAAGAAAGATTAAGTTTTGGGTGAACATGAACTTCAAAGCCCAATTTGAAATATTCTTACTTTTCTTGGATATATAGGCTGTGTCTGAAACCATACTCTGAAAAACAAACTAAACTGTTTCTGAAGGAGCAGAGCATCCTGTTGAGATAAAAGGGACTGTAACAGCACTGCTGCCGTAATTACATTATACTATGATGAAGCCTGACTAGTGAGCAGTTACTGAAATTTTGGAGTAATAGCCCATGACGACTCTCTTGGCTGGTACAGGATGTTCCTGATGTGACTTCTGCCAAAACAGGAAGAAAAAAAAAGCTGTGATCAAAAAGCTTGGCTTCTGTTTTGGAATTTTATTAGCTTTTATAGCTCAGTGCCATAACAAAGCATGGAATGCAGCAGACTTTTCATAGCTAATAAGCAAATTCTTCCCTTGTCGGTTGGAAAGAGCAAATGGTTCTTGATTATCTGCTCACTGTACTTATCCACCTGTACCCAGAGACAGCATGGAATTAGTGGAGAGCTACAAGAAATTCCTGCTATTTGGCCTCTGTCCCTCTTCACTGTTTTCAGTTGAGAAGCTTAAAAGCTGCCAGTTAAAATATGTAGTCAGCAAAAACCAGAAAAGAAACCATTTTTGAAAAAACTTATTTCCCTATTGTCAGCAATTGCAGCTTTTAGTGAATCATTTTTAACATGAAGAATCGTGCAGTGGTGCTAATATAGCAGTCATGCATTCTAAATCACATTTGCAGTTGAGAATAAGCTGGTAAACATTTTGCTTTCAGTAAATTGAAGTACTTTTAGTCAAGTTTCTTAAAGAAATGAGATTCAGAGCAGTGCATGCAAAAAAGTTAAAACATTTAGGGTAAATAAGACAATTTCAGCCCTGTTTAAGAAGTAGCTGAAGTTTCACAAATATAAATTTCCTCAAAGCGTTGTGAAACTTACAAATTGTGTAGAGGAAAGCAGCCTTGGGCTTCTTGTTCATTGTAGGGAGTAGGTTGTTTTTCTGGTGAACTTGTACTGGGGAAAGATACTGGAAACAAGACATTATTATTTTCACTGTCTAGAACTACTCTTGAATTGTGATTCTTTATAAGCCAAAAAGCCTCTTCAGATACTTGTTTTCTGATTATTTGCTAGAGAAACAGTAGGCTTCTAGTTGAATGCTTCAGTGCCACGGAGTTTGCACTTCAGTTTGTACAGCCAAGATTCTACAATCTCTGTGACTGATGTTTTAGGCCAATAGCTCAAAGAAAATGAGATGTCTAGCTGGAACTCCATGTAGTCGATTGGCAAGCAAGCTGGATTAGCAGCTCTGCTGAAAAGGCTTCTCTCACAGACCTAAATTCTTCAATTTCTCTTCCTGGGAAGCAGTACAAAAGCTTGTGATGTTTCTTAGATGCTGACTGACCATCCTTTCCCAACTTCCTTGGGAATTTTCTGTCTCTGCATGCAAGTTCCTGAAGTTCAAATGAGGTTATGTTTTTGTCTTGAACTCTGGTTTCCCACAAGCTGTTTTTTGCTGGAGTTTTATTGTGTATGTTTTTTCCTGTATTCATGGACTCATACCTCTGTGATGAGAAACTTTTGTATATTTAACTTTGTCAAACCAGTTAAACTGTAAACCACTTATTTTTAGAATGGGCTTAGAATGAATGCTTAGTGCTGAGTCTTTCCTTTTGTTAATTGCTTCGTAGTGGTCTATAAATGCCACAGACTCCATTTCAAGATAATTCTGATATGAAAAGACTTCAAGCTTTTAATTACCACTCACTGGTATTGCAGTCTTAACTTACAAAGAAACTCTAAAACCAAGCTATTTCCAGATGAGCTGTTGCTCTGAATGTCTCCATGGCTTTCCTGTCTTTCTTACCCTTTCCCCCCTACAACTTCTCAATAGATTAAAAGCCTTTATTCAGTTGAAGTTCCTTCAAAAAGATCTTTTGTCCATACTGCTTTACTCATTTATGTATATACTTTTAAAAGATGGTTTTTTTCCAGTGAAATTGATCAAGACACTTCAAGCAAGAAAAAAACTATTAATTTTATAAATACAGCAACATCAATATCTAGTACTGCAGTGCAAGTATTTATGGAAGAACAGGATAAGGGATTGCCACCCCTTTGTATAATCACAGTAAAGCTTATTCTGGGCTGAGGCTTATGGATATCATCCAAATTAGTTGCCTGTGTAAAGGACTGTCTTGGAATTTACATCAGATGGCTGTGGAACTTGTCTAATTGAGTCATGAAAATCTCCAACGATGGAGATTTCACAGTCTCTCTGGACAGTGCCATCCAGGTTATTGACCACTTTTTTTCTCATTTGACAGCATCTGCAAGCTCACCAAAAGTGTGTTTTGATCCACAGGCCAGGCTGATATTGAACAGTATTGATCCTAGTAACAACCCATGTACAATATTGGAGAGAGACATAATTTTTGAAAGAAATGTTCCAGAACTATCAAGGGAATAAACAGAACTTGGGGAATAATAATGATTGTAAAATAGCTACTGGGTGGGTTGGGTTTTTTCTATCTGGGGTGTTTTTTTAATGATTTTAAGCAGAAAACAAAGCATTTTAAGCTGAAGTATACCCAGCTTTGAGCTGGGCACACGTGTTTATAGGCATTAAGTTTGTGTTTTCCCAGCATTTTCTAAGTGGGGACATTTTGTTTTCAGTTAAAATAGAAAATTTTGTTTTGCATGATTAAGTGCAAAGGTCCATCTTAAGATGCTGGAACAATATAGGTGGCACATTTCCCAGCTTCCCTCATGAGCAGCAGTACAGATTCAAGAGCAGTGTGGACATACTGCTGAGCACCTAGGCAGGAGCTTGAGTGCTAGATGCAGTTCACAGCTCTGAAGTTACCTTTAAACTTTTTTGGTAATAATTTTGTGTGATGTGTCTCCATTCCTTCTTTTTATCTCCCTAAAAAATAAGTCCAGGAGGGATTTTGTAGTAGCTCTGCTTCAGAGGAGTGTCCACACCAGGCCTCTCTGGGGGTTGTCTTTCTCCTATCTGAACAAACATAGGTCTTATCCTCTGTTCGAGACATGTGACCGCAAAGCCTTATGTAGTCAGTCAAAGGAGACTTAAGAATGAATTATCTTCTCCTCTATATCGAGGTATGGGTAGAATATGAATTATCTTTCAGTACACAGGTAACTATCTTAACAAATCTGTCTTACAGGTCCACTGAAGAAATGTTTAGTATGGCTGATGAAAGCTGCAGCTCCAATCCTGCGATGGTTCGGAGAAAAAAAATTGCAATCAGCATCATCTTTTCTCTGCCTGAAAAAGAAGAAGCACAGAGAAACTTCCAGGATTTCTTTTTCTCTCACTTTCCTCTTTTTGAATCTCACATGAACAAGCTGAAATATGCAATAGAAAAGGTACAGAATACTGATTTGGCATAATGTGGAAAAATAAGTGTCAATCAGAATGAAGTATTCTAGATGAAGAGTGGGAGAAGGTGCGTGGCTTCAAGCTTGCCTCCCTCTTTACACATGCTGTCTTGAGCCTGAGCCCAGTGTAGGAATTCAGCATTTGCTGAAAGAGGTGTGGTTTCTTTTCTAGACAGAATGAGAAAGGAGAGTTTTATGCTATGGGTGTTTTTTTTTCCTTCTCACCGTATTTCACTATGAGGTTTTCTTGACTCCCTGGAGACTGTGGAAATGATGGTATTCTATCCTTTCATGCAGTCACTAAAAGAGACACAAAATGTTTGTTGCTGTCTTTGGCTTACACTCTTGAGAAATGTTCTCCTCTCTCCCCATGTCCAGCATTAGGGATTGGTCTTTCGTGAGGTGGAGGGAGGTTGGCAACTATTGCTGTCCTGAGTGGCTGTATAGCATTGGGGCTAGATCTTAGTTATTTTGACATGTTAATGAAGCTTAAAAAGATGAAGAATGTGAATCCTTTAAGAAGCTGTTTTGTGTCTTTAACTCTTAATCAAGGCCATGATCTCATGTAGAAAAATAGCAGAATCCAGCCAGAGAGTGCAGGTTTATATCAGCCGTGTCATGGATGCCCTGGGAGAATTCAGGTGAGTTGACGGAATTCTGAATTACAAGGAGAGCTCTTTTCATGCCCCTCTAAAGATATTTGTCACTTCCAGTTATAAGCAACTGAATGCAAGGTCTTGTATTTTAGCCAGCCTTGAAGATGTGTGAATTAATTTTCTGCCTTGGGTATTGGGTAAATGTTTTCAAAAAACTTTAGCAAAACCAGCGCAGCCACTTTCCAAGTGAGAGTAAAGTCATTTTGTCGCACTCATGTGTTCCTGGGACTGTCAGTTAAAGACTGTAAGATCTCATCAAGAGTTGGCTTCTGCTGATGTCTGTGCAGACAAATGGTTTGATGTTGTATTCAGGCAGATGTGTTGTCTACTCCTAGTCATAGATATGGAACAGTGTAACTGGCAAGAAAGTTGTAGTCAAAGGCTGTCTTTTTGCTACCTAAGAAAGGAAGTAATAGTCAGAGATCAGCAAAGTCAGCACAGGAGAGAGAGAAGGCTTTAGTGGGATGGAGTTTCTGTAATATCTGGAATGTGGAATCTAATCCCTGCAATGAATAGAATGGATTCTTTTCCCCCTCAGACTTATTTCTGAATGGTTTCTCTGAATGCAAATACACACAGGAATGCAAGAAAGGGAAACAAGTATGTAATTCATGTAAAGACACTAGGTTACTGATACTCTGAATTAAACAGACTGGTGTTCTGGGGCACTAGTAATTACTGGAAGAGTAAAAACTCTTCCAGTTTGTTTAGTCTCCTAGATCTTACAAAAATACATAAAAATCAATGGACAATAGAAGAGGAAGGGAGCTACTAGTATTTATTTTCAAGATTTGAAATGTGCATGTTAACACTTTTTGGGAATTTTCTTTGAGCAGAGTTACCATCTGGAACCTATATTCTGTTCCAAGGATTGCAGAGCCTGTGTGGCTTAATATGATGTCCAGCACCCTGGAAAAGAATCAGCTATGCCAGCGTTTTCTTAAAGAATTTACATTTCTGATAGAACAGATCAACAAAAATCAGTAAGCTTCCCCCACTCCCTTTTTCTCGAAAAACGCTTGTGTGCTTGCCAGCATACATGGATGTGTTAAAGCATTTAATGGGATATTCTTTTGTTGGTGTTACTTTGGACATACTCTTTTTCTTCTTAGGTTCTTTGCTGCTTTGTTGACTGCAGTGCTGACATATCATCTGGCTTGGGTCCCAACAGTAATGCCAGTTGACCATCCTCCTATCAAGGCCTTCTCCGAGAAGCGCACATCCCAGTCTGTGAACATGCTGGCAAAATCCCATCCATACAACCCTCTCTGGGCACAGCTTGGTCAGTAGGAAATGGAAAGCTTCAGACTTCTCTATAACTAGTACCTTTGTGCATCCACCCCTTTTAGATAAGACTTATTTGTGATCCAGATCACATTTCTTGTTTTGCCTTGCTGTAAGTTGGGAAGAGCTGCCAATAGGTGTCTTCGGGCTGGTTAATCAGCATTTGGAGACCTGTTTACATGTCTTGCTTTTTATTCTTTGTTCCTTGTCATCCTCTGCTACACTGTCTGGTTAAGAAACATAATATAGAAGTATTAAGATGGTGCAAGTGCCATGAATGGTCTGAGAAGTTTGGGAAAGAACAAGAAAGAGGGAATGGACTGGATCGAGGGGAGTGATCTGGGCCTTGGAGGCCCTTTGTAGTTGAAACTGCCCTGGCTACCTCCTTTTAGCTCTTTCTCATAGAGCTAGGATAGACAGCAAGACAATACATTAGAAGTCTGGCAACTGGCAGTTCCTCCATTCACAGTTACATGAGTGGGCTTGGACCAAGTTTTTTTCTATGTCCCACTCCTCAGGCTGTTCTCTGACAAATACCGATGTCAAATGAGTATGTGAGCGAAAGCTGAGAAAATAATTCTGCCAGTAGTAAATCCTTGAAAATTCCTCCTCTTCTTGGCAGCAGGTGTGAGTCTGACATCAGAGCAGCATTAGCTTTAACTGATTACTCTATTACCATGTAAAATAACACACATGCACACTAAGGCAATAACATGACTTTTACACTGTGCTGCTGGTTGTGTTTCTTGCTAATTGTCTCAGTTATGCTTTTTGAAACTTAAGAATTCTTATGAAACTAAGAATTGCTACCTCAGCTATGTAGTTGTAGTAGAATTGTTTCCTGATTTAGGATGTCTTTTAAACATTGTGCAGAGGTTAAACGGGAGGGGAAATTAGAAGTGTGTTCATAGTGTTGAGGATGGAGCCAGGCCTGGCGTTATAAAAACCAGCTGGACTGGAGGCGTAAGCTCGGCAGTAGCTCTTGTGGTCAGTCCCAGGAGTCACTACTGGTAACTAGTTAAGAATCTGTTTCTCTTTCTGCCTTGCCAAGTTCTCAGTGCCTGAACTCAAAATGCTTTCTGGTTTTGTTTCATTCTTACAAAGCCCAAAAAGCCCTTATTAGGTGGCTGCAAAACCTGCTCATGAAAGTAAGATGTTGCCCTCTGCTGGTCTTCCTCTTTAGGAAGAGAGGAAAACCAGAAAATCGTGGGTCTTAGTGCTTAAAAATTGAAACTTTTTCTTAAGGAAAGGATTTTTGACATACCTGTCTTTCTACCTTCAGAGCCGTGTTTTTGTTATGTATTACTTACCAATTGCAATTGGATACTGATACAAATGGAAGTCCCACTGTCAGGAAGACATACTGTCTCTTAAACATCAATTTCAATCTAATGGTATTAACAACAAATATTAGTATGTTTTGAAGGTCACAGTTTTGACTTACTTTACTGTCTTATTAGCACTGATTTTATATAAAAGTCAGTTGTGCAAATGAATGTGAAGCCTGAATCTGATTTACACAGCAACTGTGCTCAACTCAAAAGTAAAACAATACCTTCTCATTTCCTTTCCAAATTGCTTATCCTTATGGTCTTGAGGTTAATTGAGTAATCTGAAGCTCACTTTTTGTTATGAGGAATGAATTTGCTGGGATGTGAGGCTATGGTGCAGCAGGTTGCAAGGGTGTTGATAACTGAGAGAAGATGGCAGCTCTGGTGCACCCATGCTGCCAGCAGCCTCTCCAGTGCATTGCTGGCATCATGGGAAATGGCATGTCTTGCCAGTGGAGACAGTAAGTGAGAGCCATGGAATTACTGTCTCATTGATCCTTGTTTTGTAGGATGGAGTCAGGAGCCTTATTCCTTTTATGTTCTGTATGGTGAGAAGGAGACTGGGCTAAAACATGTTGTTTGGAAGGTTTTTGTTGTTTTAGTATCCTCATGTTGAAACCAGAGGTCCCCTTGTCCTTGGCAGAAACCTTTCTGAAGCTCTGATTATAACTTTAATTTAGTGTTGCTTCTTGAAGTGTAGTACTAAATCCTGATGGCAAACTGTCCAGAATAGAGCGAGGATTTAGCACATAAAGCAATCTAATAGATTAGCAGGTAGCTGATAAAGCCTACAGGGAGAGAAGCCTGCTTTCAACACTTAAGGTGGCTGAAGAAAATAAAGCTTTTGCTGGCTGTCTCCCATGTGTTGGTGAGATCAGCTACAGTTTGGTTAAGCAAAGACAATTTAGTGGGTTCTCTAATGGGTGTCAGGTGAAGATAACTCAACCTGTTAATAGATGCTTCTTGAGTTAGGCCATTTTTGTCTGTTAGAGCATGGGAACAGTCCCTTACTGGCTATCTGTGTTTACTTTTCCCAGAACTTTGGAGTAGAAACCCTTTAGCTGAGAGATGATTAGAAGCAGTTGGAAGATAGTTACAACTCTCCAAGACAAATATATTGAATGTAGGGTATGTGTGACCTTAGTTCTGTTAAAAAAGCAGTTCTTAAGGATAAATGAGCCACCAAATAAGTAGTTCTTGAGGCAACTCAGGTGGTGATATAGTGCCTACTTTTCATATTACAGTTGTATTTTAAGTGGTAGAATTTTCTAGTTCTCCACTGCCCCCTGCCAAAGATGAATGGTCATGTTAGTGAGGTTGACTCCAAGTACACACAGCATGTGCCTTGCTCTACATGCCTCTCTTTTCTGAACCCTGTTTATTAAGCTAATATTTGATTTTTTTTTTGCCTTTTTGGTATCTTCATCCTCAAAAATATAACTTAGATTTTATCAGTATTAAAATTCTGGTGTTTAACAAAAAAAAAGTCACTGCACTAAAACAGAATTACTCTGGTGTGAAAGAAAATGAGTAGAAAAATAGAAAACAATAGCTGGCTTCAGAGTTTTGCTGGATCTACACTCCTCTTCAACCCTCATGTGTCAGTTTCCAAGTGATAATATCTTGAAAGCATTGTGTAAATAAAAAATTTAGTGGCTTTGAACAGAAAGAAAATGAGTAATAGCACATAAGTCCTCACAAAAACACGAAAACACTTCTGGACAAAAGCCAGGTGTAAGAAGCATTAGGGGACTGACTTCATTATTCTTGTTTTAAACTTTTATGAACTCAGTGTGGAAAAAAATTGTCTGAATTGTGTCCATAGTAAATGCTGTTTCAAAATGTGTTGGATTTGTACAGTATAGCTTATACTGCAACCAAACATAACCCTGTGAAATTTTTGCTTTCCTGTGTAGGTGATCTCTATGGTGCCATAGGCTCTCCAGTTAGACTGACTCGAACTATTATTGTTGGAAAGCGCAAGGAGTTGGTTCAGCGTTTGCTCTATGTTCTGACTTACTTCATTCGGTGCTCTGAGCTGCAGGAAAATCAGCTGATGTGGAGTGAGAAGGCTGGGGAAGGAGAGCAAGTGCTAAATGGAAGCAAGATCACAACTGCACTAGAAAAGGGAGAGGTAGAGGATTCTGATTATGTGGTTGTCACTGTTAAAAATGAACCTGCTCTTGTGCCTCCAATCCTACCTTCAAAGAGTGATGGGAGTAAGAACAACAGGATTGCAGAATGGGTACATGACCCAGAAAGCACTCATGCTGTCCCAGTCTCTTCAAAAGAAAAGAAGGAAACAGTAGCAAAGTCCAGTCAGAACTCTGAAGCATCTATTGAGAGTCTAGCTAGCAGTTTCTGTAAAGGAGCAGATGATGATAGGAAAAGAACTGTTACTGATGCAGGAATTGCATCAAATAGCTTTCAAGAGTCAACTAAAGTAGAGAATTTAATGGATGTAAAGAAGAAGAACAAGAACCAGAATGAGAGAAAAGTAGAAAAGCAGTTTTCTAGTAGGTCATCTGCCTTACCTTGTCCAGAAGGGTCTGGCCACAGGAGTTCACACTTAGAAAAGGTCACCTTTCAGATTGGAAGTTCTGCATCACCAGAGTCAGACTTAGAAACTCATAGAAGGGAAATGGAAGCAAATCTGAAGGAATTGAGAAAAAGTCCAGAGGTGATACACTGCATCTCAAGTTCCACAAGTCTGACTGTGGATGCTTCTCAGAGTCAAGAAGACAGTTGTGAAGCTGCCTTTATACCCTTCAGTAAACATAATGTTCGTTACGCACAAACCCCACCGTGTGAGGGGAAGGAGAGGATACTTAACCAGCATGTGGAAAGTAAAGGAACTGAAATGAATTTAGCAAACACAATGTCTAGTGAACTGCTTTTGCCCATGGATAACATAGAAACTATAAAATTGCCAAACCTGAAAGAAAATAGAACTTTATGCTCTGGCAATCTGGAGAACTATTCTCCTGGCTGTGTAGAAGCAGGTTCTGCTGTCAAACAAGATTCCCCTAAAGTAGGTGCTAAAGATGTCCCCTATGGGGATACTGGAAGGAAAACCTCCTTCAGAGTTGAAGGGGACATTCCAAGGAATGAGAGTTCAGACAGTGCTCTTGGAGCCAGCGATGAAGAAGGTGATTGTTGTATCCCTGATGAAGCGCATCGTGATAATGTCAGCAAAAGACTTGAAGAATTTGCAGAAGTGGAACTTCCTTTACCAAGGTAAAGTGGTCTGATTAATTAGAACTAAATAGAGTCAAAAGCTGTTGCTACTTTAGGGTTGTTCAGAGTTTCTAGTCTGAAATCTTGACTAAGTTCTTTGCAAACAAATCCGTAACAGACACTGATGTGGTTAGGATACTTGTAAACAGATTTGGCAAAAAGCAAACCAAGAGCAGGTTTAGGGCAGTGAAGTTTTATGACAAAGGCACTTCAAATGTCTAACAAAAAGTGATCAAACTTTTTATATAAACTGCCTGAGACATTTGCCTGTCCTCAGATGTTCTGTCTACATGACGACTTCGCTGAAATTGATAGTTATTTAGATTTGACATAATCGACAAATCAAAGACTGGTTTGGAATAAATATGGGCATCCTATTTCAAAACTTTTGAGCTTTACAGGTGCATGTGGAGCTTGCTGATGCTTAAGCTAGGTTTCTATACCTTAAGCATGAGAGTTGAAAAAACCCTCACATTTAGCAAATTTGTTAGCTGTAGAATAGGGAGCTCATACATACCACAAGCTCTAATACATGTAAATTTGCTTATTCATAGATTTGAAGGAATCAATACATTGTTAAAGTTCAACTTCTAAAATTCTTGTTTCAAAGAGCACCAGTAAATTTTTACTGGTGTGAACATTTGCACATAGTTTGAGTACAGTTGTTGATTAATATTTGGAATAGAAGCAGGGATGATTAACCTAACTTCACGTTCATGTCAAATCTGAATGCAGTTTGTCAAGCAAGAATCTTACCTGCTTTGTATTCCTGTATTTCAGGTCAAATACCATCAGCAGTCAATGTGTGAAAAACTTTGGAAGATCACTTCTGGGTGGTTACTGTCATACATATATACCTGATCTAGTGCTACATGGAATAAATAATGATGAAAAACTCAGGCAATGTCTACTAGCAGATCTACTTCATGCAATGCATGTGAGTTTTAAGTACCATTCTGAGTTGTAGTAGGAGTTGAGATATTAGTGAGATCTACAGAAGCAGATTATTTGAATAGGTTTGTTTCTGCTTGCCTGTTCTTAACAGCTATGCCTGCTGTGTCTTCCATCTTGAAACGTGTAAGCCCCTTAATTCATTGTGTGCAAAGCCTGTTCATGCATGAATTGTGCTTCCCTTTATACTCTAAGGCTTCTCTTCAAAGATAAACACAAGCAAGTTTGTTTGCAGCTTCAAGTTACAAACAAGGAAAAAGTCTTCAAGCTGCTTCTCTTTTTAGTCACAACAGCAGACAGAATTACCTATATTTCAGAAAATTGATATGATATTTGAAACATTTTATTTTGCCACTCATTGGATTGTATTGCAAGGGAGACGAAGTCTTGTGGAGGCCTGTATGATACTAAGACTGTAGCAGAAATTATTGACTACAGAAAGTAATTGTCTATAAGTAAGAACTTTGCCATGTTTTGACTCTGCTGTAGGTACTCCTAAATTATATAATTTATAACTACCCCTTCACTGAAATAACTGTGCGACCTCAGGATGCAATTTTAAATGCTTATCTTAAAGAGTCAGTGGCTTCTCTCTAATAGCACTTAAGAATCATCTAGCTGGAATGACTGCATATACTATCTGAAGCACTGGTGTGTTTGTATGCAACTTCTATAAATAATATCAGATTGGTCCCATATGATACTGTCTCTTCGTACATACAAGTTGGTGGATGAGGAGTTGAGCTGAGCTGACAGTGTGTTCTTGCTGCCAGGAGGGCCAGTGGTATACTGAGGTGCATTAAGAAAAGTGTGGCCAGCAGGTGAGGAGAGGTGATCCTCCCACTCAAATTGGCCCTAGTAGGCCACATTTGGAGTATCGTGTTCAGCTCTGGTCTCCACAGTTCAAGAAAGACAAGGAGCTACAGGAGAGGGTCCAGTGCAGGGCCACAAAGATGATAAGGAGTCTGGAGCAGGAGCTGGCCCTGTTTAGTCTAGAGAAGAGAAGACTGAGAGGAGTTCTCATCTATACATGTAATTATCTCAAAGGCAGGTGTCAAGAGGAGTGTGGCAGACTCTTCAGTGGTGCCCAGTGCTGGGACAAGGAGTAATGGCCATGAACTAAACCACAAAATGTTCCACCTCAACATGACGAAGAATTTCTTTACTCTTAAGGATGGCAGAGCATTGGAACAGGTTGCTCAGAGAGGTTGTGGAGTCTCCCTTTCTGGAGACATTCAAAACCCACCTGGACACATTCCTGTGTAACCTGTTCTAGGTGACCCTGCCTTGCCAGGGGGTTGGACTAGAGGACCCTTCCAACTCTGAGAATTCTGTGATACCCTGCCTCGATTGTACACAGTAGAGTCCCTCACATATCTCTGAAACATTGAATATACTTTAACCATCACTGGATCAGTGTAATTATTGCTCTCTTCATTTTGAAAGAAACTTACCTGTAGGTGGAATACATGAAGGAAAAATAAATTGGAGTAGTGATTTTAAAGCACTAATCAAAATTAAATGCCTTGATCAAATTGGCTGTTAAGACTTACCTGATCCAATGTTGCTGAATGTAAACCCTGTCACTGAAGTTGTCGCTGCTTGTTATTTTTTGAGATGCCTTTGGTTCCCTATTGGACATAAATATTCATTGAATCACTTTTTTATTCCCTACCTTAGTGTGAATAGAGAGTGGAATCTCAAACTGACATGTGGAAATGTATATGAAAACATAATGTTTGTATTTTGTTCCTGTTGCAGCATCCAGTGCTAGATGAGCCCATAGCAGAAGCTGTCTGCATTATTGCAGACACAGATAAATGGAATGTGCAAGTAGCTACAAGCCAGAGAAAGATGATGGACAATATGAAGTTAGGCAAGGATGTTTTGGTTTCGAGTCAAGTATCCAGTTTATTGCAGTCTATTTTACAGCTTTACAAACTCAACGTCCCAGCCGACTTTGTAAGTATTTCTTTATTGAAGACTGAAGGTAATTAAAATTGTTTATCTCAGAGTTTTGTACACTGTGTTGCTATACCAATAAACTAATGCCTGAAATAATGCAGAGTTGATACAACATATTGAAGAGTATCCATGCTACAGTCCAGTAACAGATACAGGTTTAGCTGAAACTGACATTTAATAGATCAAAGTTAACTACTCCAAAATACACATGCCAAAGCTCAAGCTGTTTAGGCAATTTTAGCATGGTCCTCATGTGTCTGTTGAGGACTCTTGAATTTGGTTTTTACTTTCTGTTTGTATAATTTCCACACTTCTCTACTAGTTAAGTTGAAGTGTCTATCCTAACACTTGCACAGTCACACCTTAAATTTTGGTGGTTTAAAACTGAATAGTTGGTTCTGCAACTGAAGTGTTCTTTCCAATGTTGCCTTGGGATTTGTATATGCAATTTCTGTATGCTTTTTGTGGTCTGGGAGGGGTCTGGAGGAGGATTCGTTTTTCAGGGGGGTTTATTTCCTTTTTCTTACAAAAAAGAACAGTGAAGTGACAGTGCTACTAACTTGTAAATTTTCTATAATCCATGTTAGAGACACTTTGATCCTTCTATTGGTAGATTTTGCAGCTCTTTACTAAAACAGAACATCTGTGCATGGAAGTTAAGTGTTCCACTAAACTCTAGGGGGAGAAGTGTGACTTCTTAATTGTAGTGTGTCTATTGATTTAAGTTTGGACGAAAACATATGTACTGATATCAATCAGAGATGAGCATAATGCAGTATGTTTGAAGTTTCCCTTAGGGGAGTGCATGTTTCTTTATGTGCCGTTACCATTCAGAGGAATAAGTATTTTGGGGGTTTTGTGATACAACAAAAAACAAAACCCAGCTTGAGACTGGATGAAAGGCAAGTAGTGATATCTTTGTGGCACTTCAGACTGGTAACCACACTGCAGAGAACTTTGCAGTATGCCAGTGTCATGTTGTATGATTGCAACTGCTGCAGTTCAGCAATACATTGAAAGTTTTACCTGCACCTTTAAACTCATTTTAAACTACTCTTCTATTTTTAGAAGTAACTTGACTTTTTTTACATTTTTACATTCAATGAGAAAAGCTGCAGCAGAAGCTAACATTAAAAAAAGACTTGTGGCCATTTTAAACGAAATGGGTTCATATACCAAGCTTGTGGGGAGAAATGTCTTCTGATTCTTTGATGGTGTTCAGGACGAGCAGATAATATTACGTAAACAATCCCTCTTTTAGTATAATGGGTAATTCTTCCTTCCTTGCTTCCTTACAACTCACAAAAAAATAAATCCATAATCCTTTACACAAATACTGGAATTGAAATATATTGAACTGCTACTTTGTGAATCAGCTGCGTGCTCTCCTGAACCACTGGGGAAGTGCTCATAGGTTTTTTGCTTTAGGGTCACCTGTAATGGAAAAGGTAAAAATGCTTCCCTATTGGCTAGAATCAGAAGTATTTTTTTTATAATGACTTGAGTGAAAATTTGCTTGAAGCAAATAGATCAAACTACTGTCAAAAAGCTTTTGCTTCTCCTCCATTTGAGGCAGTGATTTTATTCTACTACCATGAACATGTATTTTAAAATGCCTCTTTATCTTCCATGATTAAGAATTGATATTAGCTTATTAAAAAAGTCATTAAAAATCTTCATCTCGATCCAGATGGTCAGAAATATACATGGTAGACTACCTACAAGCCTGAGTAATTTTTTTCTCACTTGTTTTTTAGTTAGCAAAACTGGTTTCACCAGATCTCATTTCTAATACTTCACAGTTTTCATTCAACTCAAAGTGCATAGGATGGTGGCCTGAAGCTATTTGCTGCTGCTACTGCTTCTAATTGCTGTCTATGCCTGACAGATGATTATACATTTTATAATGTGAGGTTCTGCATGTGCTTCCTGCTTTCATCTCCTGGAGTTCGGGGAGCTGAACTAATTTAACTTTTTTGAAGTGGTCATCCCTGTGAAAAGAAGGAATATATCAAATATAATGTACCTTGTTTCCTAGAACAAAATACCTGATAAGACATCCAACCTATTCACCTTGTGAAAACATCCTACCTACTGACCTTGTCTTAACAAAATAACCCTTCTCTCTCTTTCGAGCTGAGGTTCATCTGCTCTCTTGTAGTATGAGAAATTGCCATGCCTTGCTTGACTGTATTTAAAAATAATATGCATTTCTAGCATTCCACTGCTGAAGGAAAAGGGGAGTGATTAAATTGATGTTTCAACTTGAACTATTACCTATTTTAAACTGGAAGTACTTAGGGATAGTAAAAACAAATGCCTAAAAGGGTTTCGTAACTTAGCTGCTACAGTAAAGCAGTCAGCAAAAGGGTTATAATTTTGTGATAATAAGGTCCTGGTGTCTTCCACTTCTTGAGTCTTAGTTTCTTGAATAATACTAGAGCCCTAGAGCTACAACAATAATTTTAGGAACTGTTGTCTAAATTGAGTCTTTCAGAAAAAATAGTGCTGATTTAGAACAAAGACATCTCGATCCAAGGTTTCTGGTTTGGCTCTTAGTAAGATGTCTTGAGCACTTTTGAACCTGGTGAAAACTGTTTAAATCAGCAGATACACAGTGGTTTATTTGAGTGGAAAATGGATGTGTAGTTTGTGCAACAAACTTGCTGACCCAGAGAGCCAGAATGCCATGGTTCCAAGAGGGGTTTCCTCTTTGTGAGGAGAGTAGTGTAACATTTTGCTATGGGTAGCACAGTTGTAACAGAAGAAATTGCCCCTTCTAGGTTTTGAAGTGGAGATTTAGTTTATCTTCTAAGATACACAGTGAAGTGATATGCCTATATTTCTGTAATATTTGCATGTGATTGCTTAGAGCCATTCTGAGGTTTTTGGTCTGTTTACAGTGCATAATGCATCTTGAGGATAGACTACAAGAGATGTATCTCAAAAGCAAAATGCTTTCAGAATATCTGCGAGGACATACAAGAGTGCATGTAAAAGAACTAGGAATTGTATTGGGGTGAGTATTGCAGGTATCATTCTTAACATATGGCAAAACCTGGGGCACTTACTTTTCCTTTTAATCTGAATGCTGACATCTTGTTCCCATGAGGACTTGCTGCTTGCTTCATATTTAACACTTTCCTCTTTGATGTTCCTCATAAGATGTAAAAATGGGTTCTACAGAACCATCTGGAAATCAGGATGAGATATTTATGTAGCAAGAACAAATTACTTGTCATTCTTAAATCTTCAGAATAAAGAAAGTTTGGGTTTTGGTCATTAGGAAATTATCCATGCATTCATATGCACTCCCCTTTGTCATGATCTCCTTAATGAAAAGTTCATCCCAACAAATACTTCAGAATTTTTGGAAGGTTAGGTGCTGCAGTTGTATCTTGAGGGAAGAGAGTGTCTCAGAAAGCAGGTGTAGAAAAATAAACAGGTGTCCTGTTTGGCAGCTGTCTTCTAATAATAGTCCTTGATTGGCATACAACCTTTAGGGATGTGCCTGCTAACAACAAAAAACGGTGAAGAAGTAAATACACACTCTCAATAGGTTTTTAGCACTGTAGCTTAAGTTTAATTTATCTTTTTCCAGACAGTTCAAGATTTCATACTGAGAAATGTAGCTGTAAATAGCGAAACCCTGAAACAAGTGCTTTCCTCAGTGTGTATGTATGTGTTAAATAGTGTAAATATATTACATACAGCCTGGCCCCTGAGCAACCTCATATTTGGAAATGGTTGGAAACTGACATTACATTTGAGAGGTGTTCCTTGAACTGTTATTGTGTAATAATTCCAGCTTTTGGTCATTTTTGGTAAGAAAGTGCTACTCTCTGGTGAACTGAGTTACATCCAAAACCTGAAATGCATGGACTTCCATAAACTGATAAACAGTTTATTTTCTTAAACTGGGCTTTTTGTTGCCTACTGACTGGTAAAACTACAAGCTCAGGTTTATGGTTTAGGAAATAAATAAAAGGGGTTTATTAAACCACAAAAGACTATGTAGCACGGAATCTTTTGAGTTAAATGGTAGCATACTTCTTGGTTTTAAACATTTTTATCTACCTTCACTGGTATGTTTTAAGTAATGGCAATAAATAATAATTAAACAATGAACATAGTTATAGCAAGACATTTCCAGTTTCTTGAAAGTGGATAAAAAATATCATCTTGTGTTTCTCTTGAAAAGGTGACTGTATATTTTAAAGTCTGTCTCTTTTTTTATTTCTAGGATTGAATCCAATGACTTGCCTTTGTTGGCTGCTATAGCAAGTACTCATTCCCCATATGTTGCTCAAATACTCTTATAAATTAAGCTCTCAGGATAGTCATTCCCTTAAAGTAAAGTAAGGAAAATGGGAATGTTGAATGAAGAACAGAGGTGCCAAACACTGGTAAAGGAGCACTGAGGAAAGCAGGTGATGACTGTACATTCTATCACCTTCTGATTCTGATTTCAACCGGACGTTTTATCGGAGGACTTCAGTTTACATAACATAAAAGGCATTCAGGTTTTTCTTACAATCTCACTTCTGACTTAAATCAAGAAAGAGACTGCATCCTTGCATTTTATTTTCATTCAAAGGACAAAAATTAACACTATGTGGCAGACCAGGAGCTGCCACCCAAAACGCTGCTCAAAACCATGAAGTACCAGTTAAAAGAACAAGTGGGTTAGAATGGATTTCATAATACTGTGCTTGTGAGTGTGGTGTGGTGTATGTTTCTTTGCTGGGGAGGAGGAGGAGCTGTAAACTATGTATATAGCATTCCTATACACAAATGTATTAGGTGGGACATGATTTTCTTGCAGAGCATATGCATGATTTGTGTAGTAGAAGTGATGGGCTCGGAACAAGGACCCTGGAATCAGCAGCCAAACGTTATGTGGGAATGGAGGTGTGCGTGAGGTTGATGTGACTTTTTCCTTTAAGGACAAGAGGTTGAAAGCTGTGGCTGCTTCTGTTTTGATGAGGAGGCATTTAAGTGGGCCCATGGCTAGAAGTGGAGTGGAATGGACTTCCAAGATAGGGATTTTGTGGGAAAGCCTTATGGAACTTCTGCTACAAGTTTACATTTGTTGCTGATGCAACAGCAATGTTGAGTTGCTGTATGACTGTAGTCCTGGGAACTAAACCTATGTCTTGGTGTCATCAAGTATTATTATCTCCAAGGAGTATGAATTTGAAAAACTTCTGAACAATGCCAGTGCTGTTAGCACATGTCTGTGCACACATACACCAAGCAATTGGCTCAAACTGAAGACAATCTTATTGGGGAAATAAAAGACAACAAACAACTGCCCACCAAACCTTTAGGCAAAAGTATTACTTTTTTTCCAGCTACAAGTTGTCACTCTCAGTAGGAATAAATGAGGAACGTTGCTCGAAGTAAAATGAAATGGAGGGGGCAAACCCCAGTATTTGATATTACTATGAATGTTTGCGATTTACCCTTTTGGATTCTCCAGAAATCTTGAACTATCATCCAGGTGCCTTTTCTTAATGGGTTAACTACTCTGACACCAGAAACTATTTCTCCACTAGTTGATACTGGCCTTTGGTGTTTCTAGAAAGCAAAATAAAATTTTGTATTTCACTGTTTTCATGTGGTTGATTAAAATGAATGTAAAGAGATACTTTTTTTGCATAAAGCACTGTTTAAGCTGGATGTGAAACTATGGACCAGACTGACGAGAGAACAAAGGATCAAAACATTCTTAAAGAAATGGAAAACTCCATGTTGGACTGTTCTGTTGTGAGCCACTGTGGATGCAGTGTCTGAAATTGTCAGCTTGCAAGCAAATTGCTAGCAACACAATTGCTTGGAAATAGTGAATCCTAGGAAGAAACTCCTAGTCACCAGTCGTAAGTTCTCCTTGTTGGTGATTACAGATTTTTAACACTGAAGGGACATGCTTTTATTAAAAGTGTTTTTATTTCCTACTACCTTGATGTTTGGACTTTTCTACAGTAAACTTTCAATGATTTGAAATAATGAAATGTGCATATTGTGAATTGTTTAAATGTGATGAGGGTCTTGATTAACCTTGTGTTGCTTTTCGAGGG